TGGCATCGCCCCGAGCTGCGGGAGGGCGGCCCCGGGGCTGCTCCCCGAGGGAAGGGTCCTCTGGGAATAAGGGGGGGGAAAAAGGCACCGATTTCCAGAGTATCCAGGGAAGTTGAGGTCCCTGGGGGGTGAGGAAGGGGTTTGGTCAGTCAAGGGGTGGTGCTGCGGGAGGGGAAGGGGCTGCCCCGGTGCTGTGGGGGGTCTTGTGTCACCCCCTGGGGTCCCTGGGCAGTTACAGGCACTGGGCCCCACTGGTGCCAACTGGGGAAGTCCCAGGGTCTTTGTTTCTGTTGCTCCATGTGGAGCATCTCTTGGGATCAGAGTTAACTTTGCTTTCCTGCTCAGGGTCGGGTTTGGGTCAAAATCCTCTGATTCTGCTGTTTGTCCAGGCTGGGGATCCCTCTGGTTAGGCTGCAGCTCCCTGGGAAGTGTTTCAGGGTGAACTTGAGCTCCTGGTGATCCTGGGTCTCTGGGCTCTAAAGGACCTGAGGGACACACTGGTTTTTCAGGGTTTCATTTGTCCTTGGTGCCTTTGGAGAGCCAGGACGAGGTGGTGAGGGGAGGAGGGTCGTGCTGGGGCTGTGGATGTGGCCCTGGAGTGAGATGGGGATGTGGGATGGGTCCAGCCTTGGGGGATGGGGATGTAGGATGATCCCAGCAGGAGCTGAGAAGCCCCACATGGGCTGTGAGGATGTGGAGTCAGAGCTGTTCCCATCCCATGGGATGAGTAGGTGGGAATTGCCCTGACTGGCCTGGCAGGAGGGAAGGGGCTGAGGTGGGAAGGAAAGGGCAGGAGGTTCTGCACCCAGGGCTGCTGGCAGGATCCTCCCAGTTACTTCGTGGAGATGCACCCACGAGAGCAGCTTGTTCTTCCCCAGCCCCTCCTCCCTGTAGTTAATTTAGTGCCTTTTCTGAGCTTTTCATTGACACTTCTGGAGGTGTGAGCTGAGGTCGTGCACATCTGCATGTGCTTTTGAGTCTCAAGTCTGGAAGGCTTAATGTGATGCTTCTCATGTTTAGCTGGAATTATTCTAAAAGCTCCATGAAAAGACAGGGTTTAATTTATTTCTAATTTTTTTTTTTGCTGACTTATGAGTGAGAAATCCAAGGACATTTCCTCACCTTTGAATTTTAGGACAAGTTTTCTCCTCAGAGGTGGCAGCAACGCTTCTCTTTCACCCTGTGAACTTATTTTGGGTGGTTCTTGGCTTTTAATAACATCAGTCTCTAAAGCTTGAGCCCTGGTGGGTGGTTGGGAAGGGGGTTTGGTGGGGTGAGTTTGGAGTTTTGTTGTATTTCATTACAATTTCTGAGCACCTCTGGTGGCTGATGCTCATCAGTTGAAGTTGTCCCATGTTTTTTTGTTCCCAAATGCTGCACTTTGGATCTTGAAGAGCCCCAGAAAGCCCAAATAAAGGTTATTTTTAAAAGCCATTGAGAATGGGAAGTCCAAGATGTTGGACTTAATGCTTCTGTTGAACTTCAGCAAGTTGAGTTAGTTTTCCAAATGGCTTTCTGGTGCCCTAAAAGCTTTGTTTGTATCCCAAGCTCTTGTTGCAGAGCTGAGAGAAATGGTTACAAGTAACTTTGTTCAAACCTTCTCAGGAAAACCCTGTTCCTGCTGGGGCTGAAATGGGTTTTGCAAAGGGTGCAGCTGCTTCCACAATTTCCTAGGCAGGTTCCTTAGCAGGGAAACCAAAAAGCTTCAGTGCTGAAGCCTCAGCTGGACCTTGAGGCTGTTGAAGCCTCTGCAATGTAAAGTTGTCCCACCAGGGAAAAGGGTTGAAACCTGGAGACATTTCCTAGTGGCTCTTACCAAACTCAAGAGGCACCAAGGTTGGTGTTCTTATTTTTTGGGGGGGTGATAACATTGAGGTGTGTCTGACAGGTGGGTTGGGCATCTCCCAGGCCTGCTTGTCACGCACCAGCAGAGCATCTGATCTCAGTTTTTAGCAATTCCAGGTGTAGTTTGGGTGTTTCCCTGGAAGTGAAGGAGCAGCAGGGAGCTGCTCTGGGCAGCCTGGGATGCTCCTCCAGGAGATACATGTCTTGGCGTGTGACCTGAGGGTTTTATTTTAGGGAATCCTTAAAGCAGGCAGGAGCAGGGAAGGTGACAGCCTCTCAAGCTGGGGGAAGAAAAAAAAACCTCCCACAGAGTCAATGGCTGCTAATTCCAGTGGTGCTAACGAGGAGCTTAAGGCCCCTAATCCCGGGATGGAGCTGCTGCCCTGGCGGCCTTTGCTGTGGGGCTGGTGGAGAAGGAGGTTGGTGGGTGGTGGCTTCATCCTGCTGTGGGGGTGGGTCTGGGGGCTGCTCCCCTGTCAGTGGGGAGGTGTGGGTGCTGAGCCCTCCTGTCTCCCCAGCCAACCTTCCTGGTGGAGCTGTCCCGTGTCCTCGCCAACCCCGGGAACAGCCAGGTGGCCCGCGTGGCAGCCGGGCTGCAGATCAAGAACTCCCTGACCTCCAAGGACCCTGACATCAAGGCCCAGTACCAGCAGAGATGGTTGGCCATCGACGCCAGCGCCCGCAGGGAGGTCAAGAACTATGTAAGTTGGGTGGCTTTGGGTTCTCCACCCTTTTCTTTGTCTCACCAAGGAGGGGGTGGAGGGGTGAGGGTCTTCTCTGTTCTTTTCCAGCCCAGGCTCCTGTTGGCCCCTGCTCCCTTCCAGGAGACCAGCAGTGTCATCTGCACTTGGCTTGGGTGCTGTGTTGCTTGTAGCACATTTCATGGGGTGATAGGATGATTCAAACTGGAAGAGGGGAGGTTTAGATGGGATGTTTGGAAGGAATTATTGGGGTAATGAGACACTGACCCAGGTTGCCCAGGGAAGCTGTGGCTGCCCCATCCCTGGCAGTGTTGAAGGGCAGGTTGGATGGGGCTTGGAGCAACCTGGGCTGGTGGGAGGTGTCCCTGCCCATGCAGGGGGTTGGATCTAGATGATCTTTAAGGTCCCTTCCAACCCAAACCCTTCTGTGATCCTCTCTGCACTTGCCTGGGTGCTTTGTTCCTTGCAGCATCTTAAATCTCTGGAATTATTAGGTTAAAAAAACCAAGCATGAGGCTCCTGCTTTGAATCTCACACCATCAATATTTTTACAAGGAGCCTCTGACAGTCTTGAGTGGTCACAGGAGCTGATGTTGCTTCCCCACCAGGTGGTGTTTCCTTTTTTTCCTCCACCTGAACAGCTCCTCAGCCCTGGTACAAACCCCATCCACATCCTGGCAACACCCCCTGTGTCAGGACACACCCTTGTACGTGAGGCACATTTTTAAGAGCAGAACATGGTACAAAATCGACAAGTTCCAAACAGGAAATTATATTCTTGAATTTACACAGAGATGGGGAAGTTGCCTGAGGACTCCTGTGCTCTTGGGTGGTTCCAAGTTCAGGCCTTGCAATGGCAGAGCTGTTTGCTTGGCTCATGGGAACAAAGATGTCCCTGGAATTCCCTTGTCTCCTCACTCCTCAGTCTTTTGTTTACCTGGATAACAGCTAAGGGGGAGCCTGAACTGCAAACAGGAGCTGTGGGGCTGCTGAAGCAAACAAAGCCAATTTATGAGTGGGTTTTGTCAAATAACAGGAGAAATACAGTGTCTGTGAGGTGATGTCTGGGAAGTGAAGGTGTAGAACTGGAAATGCCAAAGCAAAGTCCTACTCCTCCCTCCAGACCTTGTGTTTTAAAGAAGTGTTACTGGGCTGGAGGAATGGAATCATTCTTCTGACTGATTGTGATCAAAAAAGGAAATTATTCTGTTCAGATGATCCTGGTGTGAAGGGTGAGGTGTGGGGAGGGTTTTTGAACCCCAGGTTGCTTGGGTTGTTGGCAGTTCTGGTGTTCAGCACCAGCAGGAGGAACCGCCGGGTGAGTCGCGGCTGCGCCTTGAGCCCGGGGTATGGAGGGTGTGGTGGGAGGACCTGCAACCCCACAGCTCTGCCCCCTGCCTGGAAGGGGCAGCCATGGCCACCTTCATGGCACGTGCTCTTTGTCCCTGGTCACAGCCACCTTTGTGGGGGGAGAAAGCAGAACAAGGGCTCTGGGGAAGGGATGTGCTGGGAGGGAAGTCAGGCTGTGACTTGGGTGGCAGGTTGTGACTTGGGTGGCAAGTTGTGACTTGGGTGGCCAGTGGGTGCCTGTGGATGCTCAGGGACATCACCCACCTCCTGCTGGTCCCTCCCACAGGTTTTGCAGACGTTGGGGACAGAGACCTACAGGCCCAGCTCAGCCTCCCAGTGCGTGGCTGGCATCGCCTGCGCAGAGATCCCCATGAACCAGTGGCCAGAGCTCATCCCCCAGTTGGTGGCCAATGTCACCAACCAGCACAGCACAGAGCACATGAAAGAGTCCACGTTGGAGGCCATTGGGTACATCTGTCAGGACATTGTGAGTATCTTCCAAATTCTGTTTTCTCTGGAGTCCAGTTGAAGTGTTGGCCCAACCTCTCCCAGCACCTTCTCCCTTCCAGCCTTTCCTTTCCCACACCCCTGTCTCTGGGAGGCTCTTGAGCTCCTGGTGTCTGGTAGTGCTTGTCCAGAGGATGTTTGTGCTGACAGAGCCATAGGGATGGTGTCTGGAGGGACTGACCTGCTTTCCCACCACAGATCCAGGTCATCTTTCTTGAGGGGCAGATTTAAGTCTCCACGTCTCTGCTGCCCTGGGTTTTGTTCTACAACTCCAGTTGTGTGAGATGTTCCAGTTGAGTTTGGGACCAAGTGTTTGATTCCTTTCTCTGCTGGGGAGACCTGACAATGACCCTCAACTCGAGTGAACAGTAGATAATTTATATTTCAGAATTCTTGACTCATAGACTGTTCCACTCTTGGAGGCACCTTCTACCAAAGGTCCTGGGGTTTTCTCACAGAGGTCTCATGGTGTGTCTGAGGTGAATTGTTGGTCAAAGTAAAAACCCTCTATCCTATCTGACCCACCACCACAAACCAGGACCAGCTCCTGCTTTTTTGGTGCTGCTGAGTGTCTTGAAGAGCACAGGTGGGGCTGGTTGAGCTTCTATGGAGTGAGGCAGCAAGAGAAACCTTCTGCTTGGTGCTTCCCATCAGGCTGCAGGGGGTGGGTGTCACCAGGGAGGGACAATGAGATAAAAGAGGAAGTCTGGAGCTGGAGAGGGAGGCACTCCAGGATGAGTGGTGTTTGGTACAAGCCTGCAAGGCTGGAGTGTGTGTCCATCATTTCCTTGGATGGCATGGACTGTTGGGCTCTGGATTTTTAGGTGCCCTGGTCTGCTGATGGGGTGTTTTTGTAGCCAAGATCCCTCTGGAGAGCTTTGTACTTTGTGTCAGTCACTTTGTGACACAGTTTATGAAATCACAGAGTCACTAAGGTTGGAAAAGACCTCTGAGATCAAGTTCAACCATCACAACCCAACATCACCATGTTTGTGGATGTGGTTTGGGAATCTAGTGCTGGATAAATTCTCATGTAACCATTAATACAGTGACTTGGGGTGAAGAAAAAATTAATTTTCAGTCTATATTCACAGCTTTATTCTTTAAGTCTCAAGTGCTTACACAGTTACCTCTCCTTGCTGCTCCACACAAGGTGTTTTTGCCCCGTGTCTAAAAAATACTGGATACTTTGTCCAATAAACATCTCAGCCACATCTGCTGGGGCAGGACTCTGCCCAGGAAATAAAGGAATTTGAAATCAAGTGGTTTTAACTTGCTAATTGAATGAAGTCAAGTACTCTGGAGCTTGTTGACCTGTTCTTTGGAATTTATTTGGCATTTCTGGCTTGAGTATCTGGAGTATTTGTGCTTGGTTCAGCCTTTTCTCTCCCAGAAGCTGTAAAGGTGTGTGAATTCCTGGGATTTGCCTCCTGATCCTCCCCTTGCCCTTCATGTCCTAAAACTTGTGGCTTCCAGGATGAAACTTTGAGGATAACTGACAATATAGAAAAGGTTGTTAAGCTGACAAGTTACTTTATCAACACTTCTTTTAGGATCCAGAGCAGCTTCAGGACAAATCCAATGAGATCCTGACAGCCATCATCCAGGGAATGAGAAAGGAAGAGCCCAGCAACAATGTGAAGCTTGCAGCTACCAATGCACTCCTGAACTCTTTGGAATTCACCAAAGCAAACTTTGACAAAGAGGTGAGGGGGGGGGGAAAACTTGACAATCCATGGTCTGAAATGCAGGGAAGGGCTGGATCCATGGTCTGTGATGAGAAATCATGCACCACGCTGAGGTTTGATGCATAATTCTCCTGTAACTGAGACTGGGATTCCTTCCCATAAATCCAGAATGTTCTTGTGATGCAGAAAGGCTGTGGGAATCCTCAGAGATCCTTCAGTGGGAAGGAGACATCCTTGGCTTTTTTATTCAAGGGGGGGGGGATGAATTTGAACTGACCCTGGAGTTTAGCCTGTTAGATGCTCTGCTTCCTAATCCAGCTCCACTCTCTGCTGCTGCTGGAGCTTGGATCAGCACTTTCTTTCAAGTGGTGTGGCAGCAATCCAGATTTCACTCTGCCTCTGAATATTGTTGGGGAAGGAAAGCCTGGAAGAGTCTCCAAAACAGGGGCCTCAGGATGAGACTCTCCCCACAGCAGGAAAATCTCTTGATGTTTTTCCTTTTCCTCCTGGGATCAAGTCTCTCCTCTTGGCCTCTACCAGGGAGATGATGGGGAAGATGGAATTAATGCTGAACCTTCAGCTTGGAAGGTTTTGTTCATGAGAACTTCCACATGTCATCTCTTCAGTGGGTGTTGGGGATCAACAGGATCCTTCTCAAGATGTGGGGTGGGAGGTGCCTGATCCATTCAGACCATATTTCTGTTGGACTGTCCCTTCCTGCTGGGATGAAAGAATATCCAGGTACTGCCCCTCAGGAAATGCACATCCTGACTGAGCCTGGAGGTTCCTTGAACACGTGGCTGAAATAATTCAGGAAACAGGAGGATTTATTTACTTTTCCTTCCTAGTTTTTCCTTGTTTTTTCCCCCATTACCAGAAAAAGCTGGTGTCTGGAGTTCTGGGTCTATTTTGGACACCCTGTTAAGTGCTTTTTCAAATGAAAGCCTGAGATTCCCATGTAGGTGAAGAAATGTTATAAAACCCCTGCAGTGAATAAGTCACCTGTGCCACTCCCTGGTCTTCAGAAGTGCTCTGTGAGTGATTGTCCTTGTCCAGACTCAGAACAGGGAGGCTTGCAAAGGCTTTGATGCTTTTGTGCTACAATTCTAATGTTCTTTTATTTCTTCTTCTAGTCTGAAAGGCACTTTATTATGCAAGTAGTTTGTGAAGCAACACAGTGTCCAGACACAAGGGTGAGTGAAAATGATACAGGGGTGAGTGAAAATGGTACGAGGGTGAGTGCAAATGAGTGCCCTGATTTGTCACTTGCCTGGCTAGATCCCCTACCATCAAAAACCAGTTGAAAAGTGGCACGTGATACGAGCAGTGTCTTGCTCAAGCACTGGTGCTTGTGCTAATGCTCAAACAAAATGACTTCTGTGCCTAAAGGCAGAAGCTGGAAGTTTCTGGGAGGGTTTGTGTGGCTGGTTTTTGGGAGGCTCCGTTAGGTGCGGAAAGGGAATCAGCAGGAGGGCTGGGTGGTTCATCTGGGGTGGGCTGGGGGTTTTCAAAGCACTGGGAAAGGTCCCAGCTCTGCTCCATGTTCTGCTCTGGCAGGTACGAGTGGCTGCCTTACAGAACCTGGTGAAGATCATGTCCCTCTACTACCAGTACATGGAGACCTACATGGGCCCCGCGCTCTTCGCGGTGAGTACCCGGGTTGCTCAGCTGGGCTCCTCTTCCTCTTCATCTAAGGGGGAAAGTTTTCCTCCTTTTCCCAGATTATTTTTTTTTTCTTTCTTTCTTTGGCTGTGACTGAATGCTGGGAATCCCTTTTTTTTCCCCCAGTAAAATCCATAAAAGCCAGCCTCAGGTGTTTTTAAAAATAAGCCCCAGACTCCCCAGGACAGGTTGGGTGAGTTGCTCTGCAGTCCCCTGAGGTGCTGATCAGCCTCTCAATGAGGAGATTGTCCCCAGGAGCAGCCACACTCGTGTGGCATCTGATTTCAAACAGTCTTGGATCTCTCACCAGTTGGCCAAGAGCTGGGAAACATGTTTCAGGAGAAGCAACTTGGTAAAGTGTCCTTCTTTCTTTCCTGCTTCTGCAGATAACTATTGAAGCCATGAAAAGTGACATAGATGAGGTGGCTCTACAAGGGATAGAGTTCTGGTCCAATGTCTGTGACGAGGAGATGGACCTGGCCATTGAGGCCTCTGAGGTGAGCTTGGAAATGGCTGCTGGGGAGTTGTGGGAACACCAAACTGGTGTCTTTGGAAGCCCTCCTGTTCTCCCAAGTGTAATTGCCCAGCAAAGCTCTGTGACCAGCCCTGGTGGCTCCATGACCAGCCCTGGTGGCTCCACACCAGCCATGGTGCACTGCTCTGCTGGGACATGGTGTGTCTGTCACTGGAGCTGAGTCCTGAGGCTGCAGGAGGCTGGTGGGCTCAGGCACAGCTTGCAGTTGTGGTCCCAGCTCTGGTGCTGGGAGCTGCCTCACCCCACCCTCAGCTCTGGTGATTTCTTCTGCCAGTTAAGGGAAATGCAAAGCTTGTGGCCAAGGTTGCCCAGGGAGCACCCTTTGGAATTGCCCTCACTAGCCCCTTGGCTTGTTCTGTACCTGATATGAAGTCCTTTGTGTAGCTCCATCTGACCTCTTTGGCTCCCTGGGTGGGATGAGGTTGAGCTGCCTTTTTAAGTGAGGAAGGTGTTTTTCTCAGCAGCCTGGCTGGGAATTGAAGCTACTTGAGAGGAAGTTTCTGTGACAGGTTTGATGAGAACACTCTGTGACACTCAGGTGCTGGTTCTCTGCAAATGGGACCTGACAGCTCCCTGACTCCTTTTGAGCATTCCCAAGTCAACTCAGGCTCCTCCTGGAAGGATTAACCTACATGTGCATTAGGCATGGACACCAGGCACTGGGTGGCACCAGGGGATCCTCAGGATCATGAAGATCTTTGAGCTGTTGCTTTGTTAAAAAGAGCAGCTGGAATTGTTGAGATAAATGTACCATGTTGAAGGGAGAATATTTAATAGAATCATGGAATGGTTTGGGTGGGAAGGGACCTTAAAGATCATCCAGTTCTAACCCCCCTGCATGGGCAGGGACACCTCCCATCAGCCCAGGCTGCTCAGAGCCCTTGGATTACTGGCTGACTGGGAGGCCTGGTGGACTCTGTTAACAATTCTGGAGTCTGTTACAGGCAGGAGTGACACAGTCCTACCCCAGAGCACAAACAGATTGGTCACATTCTGTGTAATACATTATTTATGAGTTAAGTATGAAATTATGGGATGAAATAGAAGTGATCATTATCCCTTACAAAGAATGGGGCTGGGGATGAATTTGGGATATTGTTCTGCATGCAGATGCTGTTGGCATAAATTAGCTGTAGAGATCAATAATAGCTTAGACTTCCAAGGGCTCTGGATGAATCATATCCATCTTTAAAAGCAGCTAAATATATATTTATGTTGAATTCCCAAAAAAAATCAAGGATAAAAGGACAGTCAGCAGCATGTAGGTTTTGTTTATGTACTGAAGACCTTTGGCTGCTTCTCTGGGGGTCACTTGTTAATTACAGGTAACTGCAAACTGAAAAGTATTTATCTTTGTCCCCCATGAGGAGGGGCTCCCTACTTGGATGGAGTGAAAAATTGACTTTGTGTATTAAATATATAGCTGGGGTAGGTGCAGGGCATCCTTGAGGTTCCTGTGTCTTCTGATAACTTGAGTTTTCCTTCTTGAAGGAGAGGAAAACATGCAGAAGAGAACTTGGTACCAACCAATGAGTTCATCATTCAGAGCTCGTGCCTCTCCAACCACTGAGAATCATTTTGTAACCTTTTTTCTTTCCAGGCAGCAGAGCAAGGGAGGCCTCCAGAGCACACCAGCAAGTTTTATGCCAAGGGGGCACTACAGTATTTGGTGCCAATTCTGACACAAACATTAACAAAACAGGTGAGTTGCACAGGGTGAAAACACCAGCACCTGCTCTCAGGTGCTGGGCTGGTGCTGAGGCACAGAGCAACAAACTGGTTGTGGCTCCCTTGCAGGGGTGACTTCTTTGATAGCTTTGGTCTCCAAGGTGCTTTCTGTCCCCTGGGGGGGTCTGAGGGGAGCTGTGGTGGTCCCTGGTCTGTGATGAGGCATCATGCACCACTCTGATGGAATGATGATGCATCCTGTTTGGGGCTGAGACTGGGACTGCACTGGGTGCTGGGCCTTGTGTGTGCTGGGTGCTGCTAACACAGGCTGCTGGTGGTGGTTTCTGAAGAGACTGGGTAGTTACCTGTGTGTCCTAATGACATGTTTGTGAAATCAAAACCAGGAGAGGATTTCTGTGTAATTGGGGATCCAATTCCTGGGATTCTTGAGCTTTTGTTTTTTCAGCTGTGAAGTCCATGTTTATTAAGCACTTCACAGGGACTTGTTTTGGACTGAGTTTCACAGTCTAATCAAAATTAATGGCATCACTTGCTACAGCAGGTCTAATTATAAAAAAAACCCTGTTAATTAAGCCATTGAGGACAGAATTGATTTGGTTTGCTAAGAAAATGCTTGGAGAAACCAGGGAATTGTTTCCCTGTGTTGTGTCACTGTTAGCTTGGCTGCAGAGAGTTCAGGATCAGGAGGTTCTAAAGTGTTAAAAGAGGAGAGATAAAACAGATTGAGGGAATTGAAGCTTCAAAGGAATTTGGGAAGGGGCTGAGGCAACGGTTGAGGGAAGAAGCTCTTCAGCTGGTACATTGGGACACTCTGTGAGGTGATGGCTCAAAGGAGGGAAGTTTCAGCCCAGCTGAGAGAGAAGCAGCCTGGGAGATGCAGGAGGGTGTGTGTGCTGAGCTGCAGCCCTGCAGCTGGTCCAGGTGACTCAGGGAGCTGCATCTCTGGCAGAGAAGCAAGTACGTCCAGACCTGGATGGATTTGTAAAGATAACAGGAGGTAACAAAGGCAACTGGAGTTGATCCAAGGGGATGGAGCTGCCTGGGGCTGGGGAGGGATGTTTTCCCCCAGGCTGACCAGGGGTGCTGTTCTCTTAGGATGAAAATGATGATGATGATGACTGGAACCCCTGCAAAGCAGCAGGAGTCTGCCTGATGCTCCTGGCCACCTGCTGTGAAGATGACATTGTTCCCCATGTCCTGCCCTTCATTAAAGAACACATTAAAAACCCAGACTGGCGATACAGAGATGCAGCTGTGATGGCTTTTGGGGGCATTTTGGAAGGACCAGAGCCTAACCAGCTCAAACCACTAGTCATACAGGTAAGAGTCTTCTGGGAGGCTTGTAGAGCACACACTGTGATTTATGTAGAGGCTGCCTGCTTGGCATGGTGTTCCTGTTCCAGGGAAAAGCCAAAGGATGCCACCTTGGAATTGTGTTGTAGAGAGATCTGGTGGTTGGGTTATAGCTTTGAGTCACAGGGACATGCAGGACACCTGACTCAGACCTGTCAGTTCTCAAGTCCTCCCCTCTGTGGAGTAACTATAAATTTTAATATATTGAGAACAATGTCCTTACTGGATCTAGAGTGTCCTGCCCTCCCCAGTTTATCCTTAGAGGGAATGTATTGACATCAGAATCAATGGCTTGGATTAAAACTAGAAGAGGGGAGATTTAGATTGGATGTTAGGAAGAAATTCTTCAGTGAGGGTGGCCCAGGTTGCCCAGAGAAGCTGTGGCTGCCCCATCCCTGGGGGTGTTGAAGGGCAGGTTGGATGGGGCTTGGAGCAGCCTGGGCTGGTGGGAGGTGTCCCTGCCCATGTAGAGGGGTGGAACTACATCTTTAAGCTCCATTCCAACCCATTCTGGGATTCTATGATTTCCACACCTTGCATTTGATCACATCTTTCTTCTGACCACGATGACCTCCTAGGCAATGCCAACTTTAATAGAGCTAATGAAGGACCCCAGCGTGGTGGTGCGGGACACGACGGCCTGGACCGTGGGCAGGATCTGTGAGATGCTGCCTGAAGCTGCCATCAATGACATTTACCTCGCCCCCCTGCTGCAGTGTCTGATGGAGGGCCTGAGTGCTGAGCCCAGGGTGGCCTCCAATGTCTGCTGGGTAAGGTGCCTCTGTGCTCTTGGACCTCTCCTGAGTCTGGATCCACAAGGGGAGTGCAGCTCATACTCACATTTGTGAACACACATATAAATACACATATGTGCTTGTGTGTTGGCTCACAATGTCATGGGTTTCCAAGAGGACTTGTGGCTCTGGTGGGAAAGAATAAAGGAAGAAATGGATAAAAATGTTAATATTCAGTGAGTGTAGTTAGAAAATGCCCTGGAAGCTGTCCTGGGTGACAGGGGATGTTCAGAAAGGCTTGCTAGAGTGTGGCTCTTGGGGGCAGCTGGATTGCCTTCATAATGCTAAGGGAGATACTTGTTTCCCATTACCTAAACCAGCTTCTGCACTGGTTCCAGAACTAAATTGAGGAGCCTGAGATGTTTTTGGTTCCCTTAGAGCTGCAGTCCCTTGGGTTGGTCTGCAGAGTTCAGGTGTGTCTTCATCCTGATGCATGTCTGTTCCAAGGAGAGTATCTGATCTTTCATTCTAAAGAGGATGTGTCCCTGCCTGCCTTTTAGGAGAGCTGCTCAATCAGAGTTGAGAGATGAGGATTTGCATGTCAAAACAAGTTTTAGAAATGACAGCATTTGTTCTCTTAGTGTTCCAGAGGTCTGAAGACTTCTAGTCAGCACAGAAGCTTTCCCTGATCCGTTGGTCCTGGCAAAAGTCCATGTCATTGTGGCTTTTGTCTGCTGGAGATGACTATTACTCTGTGTTTGTAGAGTGAAATGAAAATCTGGAGGCTTCCAACTCCTCTGATCCACCTTTCTCTCAGAGCAGCTACAGTTGCTCTGCAGCTGGGAGCTGGAGCAGCCCACAGCCTTGTCTCAACTGGATTTTAACTGGGTAGAACCTGTTGAGGTTCAAGCAACCTGCCTCTCTCCAGTTGATTCTTGACAGCTCCCAGTTGAGACCAGTGACAGTCTGCAGACATTTGTGTGCAGCCAGCCTGCCTGCTTTCTGTCTGAACATTATGCTTTAAATCCTGGACATCTTTACCACTGTTGCACCAAAACTCCAGGAGCTGTTCATGAGGAGAGTCCTTAATCCTGTTTGGGGAGGTTTTTTGGGGTGGTTTTGTTAGAATGAAATATGTATTTATATATGTATCTAATTTCTGGGTTTGTGAGGGTAAAACTTAATTGAGTAACAGGAATTGTTGTTGTGTGTTTCAGGCCTTCTCTAGTCTTGCTGAAGCTGCCTATGAAGCTGCAGATGTGGCTGATGATCAGGAAGAACCAGCAACTTACTGCTTATCCTCCTCATTTGAGCTAATAGTCCAGAAACTTCTGGAGACTGCAGATAGGTAACCCCAAACCAGCTGCCTTGAGCTCTGCAAAGATGCTTTGCTTTTATGATGACTTCAGGCTTAGATCTGAATGGTGGTTTATCAGAAACAGGCTTTTTTTTGGGTCTTGTTATCACACAGAATATAGGATGCTAATCCCCAGGAAGAAAAGCTATTCACACAGAATAATTTCTCAGTATTTTGGCCAGATCTGCTTTTAGTAAGTCTGGGCTTCTTCCATGGTTTGCTTTGAAGTTTCCAAGCATGGTGTAAGACTCTGCACATCTTCAGCAGTGATAAAACTCTTCAGTTTTGCTATGAGGCCACTGAATAATCAGGATTGCAGCAAGAGATAATTGTGTGTGTTGTTCCTTTTCCTGGGATTGTTCCATGCTGTTGCTGGGTGTTTCATCCACTCACAGGTATTCCCAGAAGAGCTGAGGACCTAGTTAAGCTGCCTACTGTCCTTTTCCCATCTAAGCTGAAATATAAATAGATAAGGCAAAGCATATTTTTTTCCCCCAGCTCTGCAGATGCAAAAATAAGGGGAATGCTGAATTCTGCCTTGAAGGGTCACATGAATCTTGACAGCTCAGAGTTCAATCCTTGGATCAGTTCAATCCTCAGCTGAAGCTTTTTGCTGCAGGACTCCATCTTCTTAAATGGTGTCCCTGTCTGAACAGTTCAAAGCCTAAACTCTTCCTGTCTAATTTACATCCCACCAGGAGCTTCATGCCTGGCACAACATCACTCATTTTAGCTCAGGTCTTGGCTGTCTTGATTTCCAATTCAACACCCTCACCAGCCTCTTGGGGGGCTGTCAGGGGGGCAGCAATTTGTGCTGAGACCATCCCAGGCAGGGTAGCAGCACCCTGGAAAATGGGACTTTGGAGGCTTTTTCTGCTCCCTGACTTGCTGCCAGTGACTGAAGAAATTAGAAATCATTATTAGCAGCAGATGAAAAATATGTGCTAAAAGTGGCTTCACAAAATTCACTTACTTTCAAGTCTTGGATTACAAGAATGCAAGTGCTTCTGCTTGTCACAACACTAAAATTTACTTTAAAAAAAAAAGAAAAAGACTGTTTCTAAGCACTGGGAGCTGCAAATAAATTCCTTCTGTTACAGACCTGATGGACACCAGAATAACTTGAGGAGTTCTGCATATGAATCTCTGATGGAAATAGTGAAAAACAGTGCCAAGGACTGTTACCCTGCTGTCCAGAAGACAACTCTGGTCATCATGGAACGACTTCAGCAAGTGCTGCAGATGGAGGTGGGTCCAGCAGAGCTCCCAGACCCCCTGGGGCCTTTTTCAGGGGGAAAAAAAGTCAAATGTGATGCTGCCCTTGGGCTGTGGATTCAGCTGGGGTAGGAAAAGGAGCTTTGTTGCTGACTGTGTGTCTTGTATGATGAGGTTGTGGGGGTTTTATTATAAATAGGTAGATACTATATATAATCTATATCTAGACATTCAAGTTCTGAGCAGCACCTCTTAAATTTGAAGAAGCAAATGTTGATAAAATTGAGCCTTGGTGCTGTCAGGATCTGCTGGGTTTGCTTGGGCTGCAACACAGGCTTTTCACACCTGGGTTTTGTTCTTTTCCAGTCACATATCCAGAGCACTTCAGACAGAATCCAGTTCAATGATCTTCAGTCTCTTCTTTGTGCTACTCTACAGGTAAGTTCCTGCCTCCTGTGCTTGTGGTGATGAGAGAAAGGTGTTGGTAGAGTCATTTCTGTGCCCCTGAGGATGCAGGCTTGGTCCTGGTGATGAGATCTGAGAGAGGAAATTGGATCTGGTGTCCCAGCTGACACGTGGGAGGTGACACAAGGTTCACAAGGCTTCAGTGGAGCACAACTTAGAAAATTGAGGGCAGTATGAATAACTGCCTGGAGCAGGTGGAAGGTTGTGGGTGCTTCAGGTTGGCTCTGATGTTGGCTACAGGCTGAACAATTGCTTTGGTTGGCACAGAGGAAAGGGGAAAAAAAAAAACCCCACAACCTCCATAACAGCTTTAATTTGTTCATCTGCCTCTTGTGGTTGGTGTTCTTATTTAAAATGGCACTAATTAAAATGCACTGAGTGTCCTTGAAATTAAACATCTGGTAATGAGTAGCCCATGTGACTGGGAGTACAAGTGCAATTCAGTTCTTTGCTTATTCCTGCAGAGTCCTGAAAACAGCTGCTTTTTTTTTTTTTTTTTCCTTCAAAAAACCCCCTGATGGATCAGCCCGTGGTGTGTGGTTGTGCAGCAGGAAGGGGGTGCTGTGCCCTCAGGCCTCCTGTACAAGACACTGCTTTGAAACAGCCTGTGAGGGCAGGTTGGGAGAGTTGGGGTGTTCAGCCTGGAGAAGAGAAGGCTCCAGGGAGACCTGAGAGCAGCTTCCAGTGCCTGAAGGGGCTCCAGGAAAGCTGGGGAGGGACTTGGGACAAGGGCAGGGAGGGATGGGATGAGGGGGATGGATGAAAACTGGGAGAGGGAGATGGAGGTTGGACATGAGGAGGAAATTCTTTGCTGTGAGGGTGGTGAGAGCCTGGCCCAGGTTGCCCAGAGAAGCTGTGGCTGCCCCATCCCTGACAGTGTTGAAGGGCAGGTTGGATGGGGCTTGGAGCAGCCTGGGCTGGTGGGAGGTGTCCCTGCCCATGCAGGGGGTGGCACTGGGTGATCTTTAAGGTCCCTTCCAACCCAAGCCATCCCATGATAAGATTTTATATAGATCCAGTGTCTGTGCAGCTCAGAGAAGAAAGGAGGGGTGTCTTGCAGAGCAGAGTGTCTGTCTAAACTCCCATTTACTCCTTTCCTGGGTAGTGTTACCTGTTCCCTGCAGTTTTTCTTCCCCCCTTTTTGGCCCAGGCCAGGGAGCCTTTCCCTGCAGGTACCTCCTGTTCCTATGAGATTTACTTCCCTTGGAGGTCTCCTGGTGTTGTCTCCAGGTTGTTTTAAAAATAACTAACTTCATCCTTGCAGCTCAGAAGCCTGTAGCATCAGCTCTTCCTGCCACTCTCCAATGTTTAGGGTAATTTTTCCAATAATGGGGAGGTGGAAGGAATCTGTCTTGGTGGGCTGCAAGGGGGCAGTGCCTGGACTCTCCTGGGCACAGTGGAATCACTCACCCCTTTCAGGATATCTCTGCCTGTGGGAGTTGAGGATCAGGTGGAATTAAACTGCTGGGGTTGAATTTGTGAACGTCTGTTCCTTCAGCATCAGGAAATCTGAACTTGAAGCATTTGCAGGAGTTGCAGCAGATACTTCAATACCACAAAGTAAAAATCAGCAGGGAGGGTTTTTTTTTTTATTTCAGCATTGCAAAGTCAAGTGCCCTGCTTTGGTACAGACTTCCTCTCTACTGCTGGAAATACAATTCTGAACATCCAGCAGGGGAAAAAAACACTTGTTAATATTTAAATGAAACAAGAAGATCAAGATCAACTATTTAAGCAGCCAAAGTCAATCTCTTTGGAGTGACTCAGTATTGAAGAATCAGGCTCGAAATAATAATTTTCCTCTGCAGGTGAAAGATTCAGTCTTTTCCTTTTGTAGGAAATGCAAGTTTATTTTAAATAAGGATCCAGCAAAGCTGTTTTGTAGTTGACAGGCTGTGAAAGGGGTGATTGGAGCTGTACAGGAGGAGGAGAGGGTGGGTTCATGTCAGGTATTGAGGTGTTTCCCTGCTCCTTTGCAGGGTGCTGGGGGACACAGAGCACCCACATGCTCACCAACCTGCTCTGCCCTCCAGAAACTTGCTCTGCTCCTCCAACACCTCAGTGCTAAACGTGTTCCTGCAAACCTGTTCTCATAGAATCATGGAATGGTTTGGAAGGGACCATAAAGACCATCAGGTTCCAAACTCAGGGTCACCTCCCAGCAGCCCAGGCTGCACAAACCTCATCCAACCTGCCCTTGAAACATCTCCAGGGATGGGGCAGCCACAACCTCCTTGAGCAACCTGTTCCAGCACCTTCTTACCCTCATGGTGAAGAATTTCTTCCTGATGTCCAATCTAAATCTCCCCTCTTCCAGTTTAAAACCATCACCCCTTGTCCTGTCACTGGTGCAAAGCCCCTCCCCAGATTTCCTGGAGCCCCTCCAGGTACTGGATTGTTTGCATTTGCAAACATTTGCATTGGTTGTATGGTAATTTATTCTCTCTTCACCCTGGGTGGGAGAGGTCTGACTGCTCTGAGTAATAAGGGCATTTTTATGTCACATTTCTCCAGTTTAACTCCCTGGTGCAGAAGCACAGGTCACATTCAGCCCTTGCTTGTCAGTAAGAGGTTGAGGTCACATTGCTGGGATGGGAAAAAGCTGGGTGGTTTTTTTTTTAAATAGGGCCAAATTTGGGCTGGTCACATTTAATGCCAGCTTAGAAATGGCAAGGCTGGAGAACAGCCTATGCAGCAGGAAAGGTAAATTCAGCTGGCTCACTGAATGCAGCCCAAATGAATGGGGCTTTGCACCCGCCCTGACAAAGCACATTTCGGCAGCAGCAGAGTTCAAACAGCAGCTTCATTTTTAGCAAAAGCCCAACGTGGTCACGAGCATCAGGAGCCAGCTCAGGGGATGGAAATGCAGGATTCAGCTTGGCATAGATGGAAGCAATTCCAATCTCTCTCTCTCTCTCTCTCTCCTCTCTGTTCCCACCCAGAACGTCCTGCGGAAGGTGCAGCACCAGGATGCTCTGCAGATCTCTGATGTGGTGATGGCCTCTCTGCTGAGGATGTTCCAGAGCACAGCAGGCTCAGGGGGTGTGCAGGAGGATGCCCTGATGGCAGTCAGCACCCTGATTGAAGGTCAGGCTTGTCCTGCAGAGCTTGGGGCAGAGCTGGGTGGTGGCTTCCTTCTCTTTTGGACAGAATTGCTGAATGTTGGGGGTTGGAAGGGACCTCTGAAGACCATTAAGTCCAACCCCTCTGCCAGAGCAGGACCAAAAACTAGGGCAGGTCACTCAGAAAGGCATCCAGACAGGTCTTGAAAGTCTCCAGAGAAGGAGACTCCATGCCCTCTCTGGCCAGCCTGTCCCAGGGCTCTGTCACCCTCACAGAAAAATTCTTCCTCGTGTTGAGGTGGAACTTCCTGTGCTTGAGTTTGAATCCATTGCCCCTCCTCCTGTTGCAGGGCACAAGTGACAAGAGGTTGTCCCTGCCTTCTTGACACCCAACCCTCATGGATTTTTAGACATACAGGTCTCTGTGCTGCTGCAGGACAGGTTGAACCTTAGCAATTCCTCCTCACTGCTCCCTGTGAGCTCTGGTGAGGTTGTGGGTTTGGTCAGGGGTGGGTTTTTAGCCATTGGTCTTGTTGAAAAGAAATGGTGGTGACAGAGATCAGTGTTAGTGTGGGCCAGAATGGGTGAAGGGAAATAAACTTTGGGTTGTGGGGTTCCAGGGAGTTTGAGCTTCATGGTTTGGGTTTAGGAGATGGTGATAGATGGTCTGGAGCTCCAGGAACACACACTGTTGTCTGAGCAGGAAAAGTGAGGTGTAACCTCACTGTCCAACCTCTTTCAAGGGCAGGTTGGATGGGGCTTGGAGCAGCCTGGGCTGGTGGGAGGTGTCCCTGCCCATGCAGGGGGGTGGGACTGGATGATCTTTAAGGTCCCTCCCCACCCAAACCAGTCCAATTCTGTGAACACCTCTGTGTTTTGGACATGGGTCCTCAAGGGAGATCAGTTTGCAAGGAGGCTCCTTTGAGTCTTCCCTTTCTCCAGAGCTGTTCTGGCTGGCCTGTTGAGGGTCTGAGCAGGTGACAGGGCCCAGCTGTGGTGGCAATACCTGCCTGGGGAGGACACAAGATGCTTTGCAGTGCAGCAGAGCTGGGTTTGGCTTTTTGGAGTAGCCCCTTCAAGATGTATTTCACTGATGCTCAAGTTTTGTCTGAGAATCCATTTGTTCTGCTTCTGTGGAACATCCAGGTACTGCTTCTGGGTGGAATATAATGGTGGGTTTCTCTTGTGTTGAACCTCCAGCAAATACATCAGAGGTTGGGATATTTTTTTTTCCTAACTGGGATACTTTCCATGCTCAGTCCTAGGTGGAGAGTTCCTGAAGTACATGGATGCCTTCAAACCCTTCCTTGGCATTGGACTGAAGAACTATGCTGAATACCAGGTAGAGCTCAAACCAGGCAGCCCTGGGTTTAAATTCTCAGCTGCTGAGTTCAGCACAACTTCTGGTGATGGAGCCCTGTAGACTTTAATTACTGGTTGCACACACCAGTTTAGGCTCTTTAGTGTAATTCAGCAGAAAGAGGCCAAGTCACTGAAGCCCCTGTTTGCACAGTGGCTGCATGTGAGTTGGCCTTGATGGGGAAGGAGGCTGCTGCTGGCTGTGGGTCTCCAGTAGAAAGTCAAGCCATGGTCCTCACCATGGGGTGGATGTTCAGACCCACCTGGCTGCTGAACTTGTTGGTGTTGGTTCAGACCAAGCACCTGCTGCTTTGGTGGTATCTGGATCTCTCTCCCTCCCCTGTGGAGAAGCAAGCTCAGCTCTTGGCAGCTTTCTGATACCAGTGGTTAATGAAGCAGGGGCTCATCAAGGTCCTTCTCCTCCTCCCTGCTGGAGTGGCTGCAGCCCCTCCCCCCTGCTGGGGGCTCCAGGAAGCTGAAGCTGTCAGGACAGAGCAGGGAGGACTGAATCACTGGAACCACTGGGTGGGTGTCTGAGTTGCTGTTCTGTTTGCAGGTCTGTCTGGCTGCAGTGGGCCTGGTTGGTGACTTGTGCAGAGCCCTGCAATCCAACATCTTGCCTTTTTGTGACGAGGTTATGCAGCTGCTCCTGGAGAACTTGGGGGTGAGTGTTTACCTTCTCATTAGCCCAGTTAGTAACAGTTGGCTTGCACGCTGAGAAGAAAGTGGGAGGTGGGAGAAGCAGAAGTGTTAGGCATGCTCTGAAGATCCCATGTTTGACAACTATCTTGCTTACTATTTGAATGGAATCCAAATTTAGGGGGGGGGGAGGATTCACATTTCAAGTCAATGACTTCCTTTATTAGCTCCTCCCCCCTCTATGCTGAACTGCAGCTGAACATGATGGTGCTGAACTGTCTTCCAGAATGAAAATGTCCATAGGTCTGTGAAGCCTCAGATCCTCTCAGTGTTTGGAGATATTGCCCTGGCCATTGGAGGGGAATTCAAGAAGTACCTGGACGTTGTACTCAACACCCTCCAGCAGGCTTCCCAAGCACAGGTTGATAAGGTAGGCACTGGGGCATGTTCCACATCCCTTCCTTAAAGTCATGATTGAGTAAGAGCTGCAGAGATGTCCCCAGGGCATTGCTGATCTGTGCTTTCCTGCTGCCTTTCCAGTCTGACTATGACATGGTAGATTACCTGAACGAGCTGAGGGAGGGCTGCCTGGAGGCCTACACTGGCATCATCCAGGGCCTGAAGGGAGACCAGGAAAACGTGCACCGTGAGTACTGGGTCCTGTCGTGGGGATCTAAGCCTGGAATGGCAAAGGGAGATGGGAAGAATTTGACTTGGACAGGCTGTTCCATGGCTGTTGTCACAATACATACCTATTCTTTATCCTTGTTCGCTCCCTTCTGCCTGCCCCCAGGAGCAGGGACTGGTTTTACAGCCTTCACTGTGGTTCCTCCAGCACATTTTCTCTGAGAGCTCTTCTGGAGCCAGATCCTGGCTGTTTGGGGGTGCACAGGAACCCCTTTTAAAGGGCAGAGTGTTCCCCAGGAGCTGTGTTTCACCCTGCTCATACCAAGCTGTTCCCTTGCAGCGGATGTGATGCTGGTGCAGCCCAGGGTAGAATTTATCTTGTCCTACATTGACCACATTGCTGGAGACGAGGATCACACCGACGGGGTGGTGGCTTGTGCTGCTGGACTGATAGGGTAAGCAACCCCAGCCTGGCTCAGCTGACAGCACACTCAGGTGGGCAGGAATCCTTGGACAACAGTCTTGATGTTTGAAGCTGCATTTTGATCTGGAGGATTTAATGTCAGTGTTTCTCCAGTCTAGTGTTGGGTGTTTAAGGTGGTGAAGGGGTTGTGCAGGTGAGGCCCTTTCACTGACAGGGTGAAAACCAGCAGGTAGAAGTGTAAGCTGGATGTGTGCTACAGGAATTCCACATCTAGGGTTTGTCAGGGATGACCTGGGCTTCAAAACAAACCACCCCACCCTCAGTTCCCAGAGTCTGGAGGGATTCAGGCCAGAGTGTTTTGATTCCTTTTCTGTTGCATTGAGCTGAGGGGAGCATCAGGGAGCTCAGGCTTTGGACAGGAGCTCAAACGTCTCTGGTTAGTCACAATTTCAGCAAACTGTTCAGCTCTGCTGCTGCAATTAGTGACCATATGCAGCATTTAAAAAAGGACATGAGCTGTGAGTCAGATTTCTTTTTGCTAGCAAGAGCTGATCAGAGTGGTGCTGGCACATCTGCTGGCAGTGCTCAGCCTCAAAAGCTTTTCCTTTCTTCTTCAGGGATTTGTGTACAGCATTTGGGAAAGATGTACTGAAATTAGTAGAAGCTAGACCCATGATACATGAACTGCTAACTGAAGGAAGAAGATCCAAGACGAACAAAACAAAAACCCTTGCTACCTGGGCGACTAAAGAACTGAGAAAACTGAAGAACCAAGCTTGGTAAGGGATTACACCCACCTCCTTTTCATGCTGCATAATTAGGAAATTGGCTAAACTCCTGAGCCTGAAAGAGCTGCTTCACAAAAGCCTTGTTCTCTAGGAGGTTGTTTCTCAGTTATTTTCCTGTAAACAAGCCCCATCTGTGGTCCTGTCTGTCAGAACACACAGTGAGGAGTGTGGTGTGAACCCCTGGGCTTCCACAGCACCAGCTGCAGACTGGGGGGCTTCTTGCTTTGTGGGATGTCACCTGGGCTCCTCCAGACATGGGGCTGTTGAAGCCTGTTGGCTTCTCAGTCCTGCTGGGGGTTCAGGGACCCAGCTGGTTGACATTTGCAGTCATGGTTTAGTTTTAGATAGTCCTGTGAGGAGCAGGGATTGGATTTGATGATCCTTGTGGGTCCCTTCCATGCCCCAAATCCGTGATTCTACTGAAGCACCTTTTAAAAGGAGGGGCATGATGGTGCATCTGCCTTTGGGAGGGGACATAGAGGTTGGATATTAGGAAGGAATTCTTTGCTGTGAGGGTGGTGAGACCCTGGCCCAGGTTGCCCTGGGAAGCTGTGGCTGCCCCATCCCTGGCAGTGTTGAAGGGCAGGTTGGATGGGGCTTGGAGCAGCCTGGGCTGGTGGGAGGTGTCCCTGCCCATGCAGGGGTGGGACTGGATGATCTTTAAGGTCCCTCCCAACCCAAACTATTCCATGATTCTATGAATAAGCCTGTTACAGCTTTGTCACCCAAATAAGAAATTCCTTAGTATCCTTAATATTTCCTTTTTAATCATTTTTTCCACTTCCTGCACATTTTACCTCCTGAATGTTTGACTTGGTGTTTTGGGTTGTTGTGTCTATTATAAACAAACCCTTTTTGCCTGCAGATCTGTTACCATTGGGATGACACCTGAGAACCCCCACTGGAAATCTCCAATCTTTTGAAAAAAAAAACCAACAAAACAAAACAACCAACAAAACCAACCAACCTGGAAGTGAGGAGTGTGCACGGATGCTGAATGTTTGGGAATGAGAGGATGAGTGAGTGAGGCTTGAAACACACCACATTGAAAATCCCGCCGCGGGCAGGGAGCCCAGCACGGACTTGGTGGAAAACCTGGAAAGCCTGGCACCTTGGGAAGAGGGAAGGACCTGTTTGTGTCCATGTCATGAGTCTCTTCTTCCAACAGACCAGGACTGGCTTCTCCGTGGTGGCCAGCGCTGAAGGGAGAACAGAGAAGGAAAACTTGGGAGGAGAAGGAAAACTGGGTTTGGTGCTTTTTGAGGTCTGGCTTGGGCTGCTGGAGAGAGAGAGAGAGAGAGAATGAGCTGGAGCCTGGATCTGCAGGGATAAATGGAGAGAAGGGTGAAGGATTTTCAGTCTAGGAGTGAGTGTGTGTGAATGAGCTGGTATCCACATTCTCAACTTCGAGTCATTGCAGTTTATCTTTTTCCCAAGAGAAACAAAAAAGGGTTAGTTGTTGCATTTCATCAAACTAACTGAAGTTCAGTCTACTGATGCAGCCTAAGAGATGTAAAGCAGAAATACAAAAATAGAGATGAAAAAGGAAAAAAAAAATTTAAAAAAAGAGAAAAACAGACAAATGACAAAAAAAAAAAAGCAGAGGAAAGTTGCTCTTTAGGGCTTTTTATTTTAGGGAAACACTGACGAATGTTCAGAGCTCCCGTTCTGAGACGCTTTTCATGATCTTGTTTCATCAAAGCGCCTTTTCTTCCTTCATATTGTTCAACTGTGAATGTAGAAATGGGGGAAAAAAACCACAAAAAGCCCCTCTCGAGTCAATGGGGACAAAAAAAATAAACCCCACCAAAAACAAAACCAACCAAACCAACCCCCTCTGGCGTTCGGGGGGAGGAGAAATTGTCCAACGGGATTTCAGGCTTCAAAAAGCAACAAAAAGATCAGTGGTCAAAGTGCTCTGAATTGGCAGTGAGAAGGCAAAGGGAAAAGAGAAAAGATCTCTCCTGACTTTGTACTGTAGCAGCCCGAACATCCACCCCCCCCCAAAACAAATAAATTGTGAGAAAGAGTTGAAAAACAAAAGAAAAAAAAAAAAACTTCAGGTAAACATTTTGGATTGCAAAAAAAAAAAATAGAAGGAAAAAAACAAACAACAAAAAAAGGGGAGAAATTCAATGTTGAAACAAAATCTGATAAAAAATGCCATTTGGAAACTGCTCAGCCTTTTGTGCTCTTTATTTGATCCGATTTAATGTGGAATCTTGGTCTCTTGCTGCACTTCAAAAACAAAACAAAACATTCAAAAAAAAGAAAAAAGGAGGAAAAAAAAAAAGACATTTATATAAAATATATATTTACTGACTGGAGCTACACGAGACGGCACTTGTAAAAGGTTCTATTTTTCCACTGCAGTTGAAGATTAATAAAATGGTGTCAAACATTCCCCAATACTTCCTTTTTTTTTGTATTCTTGGTCTTTCCAGCAAAAGGGGAAACCCCATTAATGATTTTTTTTAATTATTATTTTTCTTATTATTTTATTTTTCAGTAGAGTAGGACCAGTCTGATGGGCAACTCAGCAATGAATTGGCTGCTTCCCCCATCGTGCAACATCTTGACTTTTCCCAGGCAGGATCAGGATCCTTCTGTTTTCCTTTTTTCAATGAGATGTTGGGGTTTTTTTTTCTTCTTCTTTTTCTGAGGAGGAGTTCCTTGCTTATCCTAGATCCTCAGCAATAAGCCAAGACAAAAGGAAAAAAACCACAAACCTGGAGGAGGTGCAGGGTTTGGAGACTTTCATTTTGGTTTCTTTCATTTCATTTTTGAAGAATGCAGCTGTGGAGACTTTTTTACCAGCATTTAAATCTGCAGTTTATTTTAACATGGGCATTTTTTAAAGCTGCTCGTGGGAGGGGAGAGTAGAAAACCTTAAGCAGTATTTCTTTTTTTTAATTATTATTTTCTTTGTTGTTTTTTTTCCTAAAAAGCAGGCAAGGGATCTGCTTTGATTCCCCAGTTTCCTTTTCCCAACTCTGATCCTTGGATCCAGGACAGTGGAGCCCACTTTTGTTGCCCATCTGCACTGCAGCATCCAGAATAGCTCTTGTACAGGGTATCAGATAATGTGCCTTTCAGTGCTGGGTTCAGGTTGCAGTCCAAGTGCCGACTTTGAACCAGTGTACAAAACAAAATAAATGAAATAAAATCCAATTCCCAGGTGTTTTCAGAGGAGAGAGGAGGAGCTCTGTGAGCTGGGAGAGCCAGTCAGCTCTGGAGCACTGACTTAGGGAGAGGCCTGGGTCACATTTCTAGTAATGCCTTTTCTTTTTATTTTGTTTTCTCGAGGTTGGGGGTGGGATTTCCTAAAAAAAAAAAATGCTAAAAAAAGAAAAAAGCCATTCCTGAAGTTGGGGAAGGGGCGTGGAGGGAAGAAACCTGATCATTCCTCAGTGCTACCTGTTTCTGTCCTGTGTGGCTGTTCAGCTGTAGACAGCAGGAGAATAAAGTACACTGAGACAGTAGTGGAAATAAACTTGTGTCTGGCCTGTTTGTTTTGGGGCTTTTTCTTGGGGTTTTGGGGGGTTTTTTTTCGTTGGTTTTGTTCCAGGGAACCAGTTCTCAGGAGGAATTGCAGCCACGTGGTGATGAGCAGGAGCTGCTCTGCAACCCCTGCCCCTCTTATCCCTTAATCCCTTTACTGCTGGCTGTACAGGCAGGGCCAAAAACCTATTTTAAATCCTTATTTATTTTTTAGGAGGTGATTTCACTGCTCGGCAGACTAAAAATCAAAGATTTATTCTGTTAATAATGTCTTTTTTTCCCTTTTCAAAGTGCTGATTTCAGCCCGGGAAGCTGCAGAGCTGTTACCACGAGGGGTGAACTCCCAAGCTCATCTCTTGCTGCAGGTGGGGGGAAACGTTTTCATTTCTTCAAGTGCCCATTTAATGCAATCCTGGAATGTCAGCTCCTCACTGTGGTGCTGAGGGAGGTGCTTCAGTGGTGGCCTTGACAGTGCTGGGTCAGTAATTCCCTCCTTCCAAGTCCCACCGTTCACAGATCCTAAAGGCCTTTCCCAGCCCAAATGAATTGATGATTTTAAGCTTGATCAACCTACACTTGGTCAATTTGCTCGTTGTCCTTAGCCAAGGAACTGGGTCTTTGATGCTCCTCTACCTCCCAAACCTCCCAGCACCATCCCCGTGTCACCACCCACCCAGCAATAACCCCTGGGCAGGATCCCCCACGGGTGGGCAGGACCCACTGATTGACCTTCTAAAAAAGAATTATCATTTAAAAAGCCACTTTATTTTGGTTCCCTTTCTTCCTCCCCCCCTGGCTGCTGCCTGGTTTTCCCTCTCCAGCTCCCCCGCGGAGCCTGGCGCAGACGGGCTGGGTGGGTGGGTGCAGTTTCCTCTCCGGGGGAGCTGGAGGTGACAGCAGTTGTGTCATCAGCTCTGTGTGACACTCCAGGGATAGTTGGGGCCCTTGCGAGGCTATTTCTGGGAGCAAGGAGCTCAAGTCTTTTCTCCTGACTCTGGATTTGGATTATTTTTGCACCTATTTTTTTCCCCTGGCTGGGAGCAGGGGGATGTGCTGAGCCCTGGGGCTGGAGAGGAGAAATAAACAACTCACAATTGGATTTTGGAAGCTGGGAGGTGATGCCTTGTGGCCAGGGAGCCCTGGGAAGTGATGCCACAGCTCCCAGTCTGGCACTTGCTGGAGGCAGCACTCGGTGGCAGGATGGCAGGAATGGGGACAGGGTGGTGAACGTGGCCCCTGAGCTGCTGGAACTTCAACTTCCCAGCTGAGGGGACTGGAATTTCACTGCTGTTCTTGTCCCTTGTTGTGTTGGTGGCAGGTGGGAGGAACCTGCTCAGCTGGAGCCTGGGGACCTGGGCTCTCCTGCCACAACCCAGATCCTGGAGGGTCCAGACAGGAGATGCCCAGGAGCAGGATATGCTAGAGCTGAGCCAGGATCGGTGTGACCTGGGATGGGCTGAGCTGCTCCAGGACGTGCTCCAGGGTGGGGACTGG